ACCTTCTCCTCAAGGTGAGACGTGGCCTCCTCCTTCTCCTCAGGGTGACATGGGGATGCTGGGGCCTCCACCTTCTCCTCACGGTGAGACGTGGCCTCCTCCTTCTCCTCGAGGTGAGACGTGGCCTCTTTCTCCTCCTTGGGGTGACATGCAGTCGCCTCCTCCTCCTCTTCCTCCTTGGGGTGACGTGGGGACACCGTGGCCTCCACCTTCTCCTCAGAGTGACACGGGGACATCGTGGCCTCCACCTTCTCCTCAAGATGAGACGTGACCTCCTCCTCCTCCTCCTTGGGGTGACGTGGGGACACCGTGGCCTCCACCTTCTCCTCAGAGTGACACGGGGACATCGTGGCCTCCACCTTCTCCTCAAGATGAGACGTGACCTCCTCCTCCTCCTCCTTGGGGTGACGTGGGGACGCCGTGGCCTCCACCTTCTCCTCGAGGTGAGATGTGGTCTCCTTCTCCTCCTCCTTGGGGTGACGTGGGGACACCGTGGCCTCCACCTTCTCCTCAAGATGAGATGTGGCCTCTTTCTCCTCCTTGGGGTGATGTGCGGCCTCCTCCTCCTCCTCCTCTTCCTCCTTGGGGTGACACGGGGCCTCCTCCTCCTCCTCAGGGTGACACGGAGACACGGTGGCCTCCTCCTTGGAGTGACGCGGGGACGCCACGGCCTCCACCTTCTCCTCGGGGTGACACGGGGACCTCATGGCCTCCTTCTCCTCCAGGTGAGATGTGACCTCCTCCTCCTCCTCGGGGTGACACGGGGACGCCGTGGCCACCGTCACCTCCTCGGGGCGACGCGGGGACACCACGGCCTCGGCCTCCTCCTCTTCTTCCTCCTCCTCCTCCTCCTCCTCCTCGTCGCCGCCCGGGTGACGCCCTGGGGACTCCATGGCCGCCTGCGGGGGGGCGGGAAGGGGCCACGTGGCTCCTCAGGCCCCGCCCACACACCCCAGAAGGGGCGGGGCATGGATAACACATACCCCCCCCCACCCCCGCAGCACTGGGGGCCTGGCCTCTAGGCCCCGCCCCCTCCAAATAAGCCACGCCCCCTCATAGAGCATCACCCAACCACGCCCCAGCTGTTCTCTAAGCCCCGCCCCCCGGGTAGAAGCCACACCCACCGGCTCCATAGCCCCGCCCCATGGAGGCAGGTGTCACCGGGAGG